GGAGCATGGAGAGGAAGGTATGTCTTACTCTTAGGTTTGTTGGTGACTTTATGTCATCTTGTTCAATTGCATTACTCCATTGGAAAATAACAGAAGTAAACACCTTTAATTGTTGTTCTTTCAGGTTCAAGATACTTCTTCAGAAACTTCCAGGACTTGTCTCGTAAGGTGAAATTCCAGGCTTCCTTCTCAGTGACCCCTGTCTTCTGGACAACTGTTTCTGTTATACGGCATCATCTCTGTGTTATGCATGTTTAATTTCACCATCTTGTTTGTAAGGAATGAAGAACAAGCTGCATGCTCTTTATATAAGACGAAAGCCTTGAATTCGTCAGGCTTTTTTTTTTTTTAGAAACTCTGAGGCTCTTATTCTTCTCAAGTTTCAATATACATTTTCATTTTATTTTAAAAATAGAATTAGTAATCTACTAGTATGTATAATTTTTATGCTCTGCTGAATGATAGGTTAACAATTCATCTGTAATACATGTTAGGAAACTTACTAATCCTATTTTGCCTGAGCATTTCGATTCATTTCATTTGCTTATTATGCCTCCATAAACAGTTTCTTTTTCTTTGTTCCTTTTCTTTTAAGTATTAAAGTGTGCACAGGTCTCCTTGATCCTCATTTTCAAGTTTCACATGCATGATAGACTGAGCTATGTAAGTAAATGGTAGGAGTGAAGAACACCATTTTCTTAATTTAGTGCTGGTGCTAAAGGGAAAAACAAAAGCAACTTTTGTAAATGATGTAAAAATTGTTTCATTAATCTTCATCTTGGATTCACTACCATTATTTTTGACATCATGATGGATTCTGATGGAGGGTTCCTTCAACTTGTCTATGCAGTTGTGATTCTACTGCACAAGAAAACTACTGTTGGATTAACTAAACAGCTAGAGACGCAAAAGTTGGTTGCATGGAGAGGGAAAGACAAGGATTATCAGGGCTGGGTTGCCTCTTGGAGGAGTGAGGGAGACCAAAAAGGATTCCTGCAAATGGATAGAGCACAACGGACGTAGCCAAAAAACTGGGCATATTGTGATGCTTCATCAGCAATTACAACTAATATAATAATCATATTTTTCTCAAGTGGCATTTTAATTTGCGCTTCTTTTTCTACTTTTTTTTTTTTTTTTTTTTATTTCTCAGTTAAGCAGTTAAGTTAGTGTAATTTATTTTTGTGAGAAGTTCAAAACTATTAAAGAGTATAACACTAATGTAAGAAATAGTTATATATATAGTTTATCTAAATTCTTTTGAATCTTTCTTTTCAATGTCTGTTTTTCTAACATGGATGAAACACCTACAGTCTACAGATGGTGGCGTCCAATATAATCAAGACAATGAATATGAATTGGGAAAGGGTTTAAAGCCGGTATGGAACTTTGGAATGCCTTTGGCTTTATGGGAGTTATATATGGTTTTAAACTTAGTGTTGGAGTGCATGAATATCTGAGTCGAGTTGAGTGATGTGTAAAGATCTCACATCGATAAAAAATAATGTGTTAGCAGAATATATGTGGAGACACATGAATCTTTGGATTTAATATGACGTCTCCTCATGTGCGATCGTGTTCTCTCACTTGTGTGCTCTTGAGCCGGCCCATTAGACCCTCCCATCAGTTAGATCGTTTGTGGTTTCATGATTGTTTCCTAGTTTTCAACTACGTTAAGATATCCCTCCTTCACCTGAAGGCCTACCTCTGTTTGATTATGCAGAGCTTTCTTTGTTGGTAACAATGAAGGCTGCTAGATTGCAAAGAACATTCAAGTTTTAGGTGCCATCACTTCTTCCCTGGAACCTAAGGAAGATGGTACGTTTTAAGCTTATTCGTAACTTTGTCATCTTGTGCAATTGCACTACGTATTTCATTGAAAAAAACAGACAAGTCGCCTCTGCTTGTTGTTTTTCAGGTTCAAAATGCATCTTCAGAATTCAAAGGACAGATAAATGAAATTTCAAGATAAGTTTCTTTTATGGGATTGCTAGAAATTAGTCATTTATTACAATTAAAATATAAAAATAATAATAAAAAAATTTAAATATTTTTAATAAATTAATACACAGAAAATTAAGCATTTGAACAATTTCAAAAATAATTTAATTTTCACTTTTCTCCTTTTATCTCATAAAAAAGAGAAAAAAAGTGAAATTTCAGGCTTTCTTCTTCTTAGCCACTACAGTCCACAAGACTACCTTTTTATTTCCTCTCTGTGTGCAATAAATTTTGCTCTATGTGCGTTTTTTAGGTATCATTTTACGTCTTATATGTTTGATTGCATCATTCAATCTAATTTGTAAGGAATGAAGAAAAAACTGCAACAGAAATAAGATTAAAATTTAAATTACAAGTTTGATGCTCCCATTCTAGTCAACATGTTTGGTTGATAGAAAAGTTATTCATTAAGTAAATTGTAAAAATAAAAGTAAATTAGATGGAGATCACACAAATGATTTTTTCTTAATTTATTTCTGATTTAAAGAACTTGGTCCTGCTCATATAATCAAAGGTTACTCTTCCTTTGTCTGATGCATGATTTCAATAACTTTAATAGGATGCTTCTAGGAAATAAGGTTTGCATAATTGATTAATTAACACTTGTGGATTAGACCAGCTGGTGATTAACACTTCCGTTTTCATGATGGACTAAACCGGCTGGTAACTGAGTCAACGAGTCAATCATCTTTATTTCTTTAACTCGAGCGTATTCCACATGCTTTCGTATGGTTGAATTCAGCTAGCTGGTCAAGCACGCTTTTTTTTAAGCTGACTTGAGCGTGTTTCACACCCCTAGTTATTTGTATTGTTGAATTCTGATATCAAACTGTCTGGCCCAGTGTACCTTTCTGTTAAAATTTTCCAAACAGGCATCTTCCTAAGCTTAGACTGTCATAGATTTATAACTTCTTTTATGCTAAACACATAAAAAGATAGGAATTAGAGGGTTCTTTTAATAATATTGTCCAAATAAGTAACTTTTTGTGACACAATCATAGTCCAAATAATTACATTCACCCATAATTTCAACATAACCATTTCACACAATCATGTTGCATTACTTCTCTGAAAATAAGAAAGTAAATCACCTTGGGGGGTTGTTTTAATTTTCACTATGCTTCTTCACACTTCGAGGACTCAACTTCTTGATTCTGTCTTGCTGGTCCAATGATAATAACAAATAACAAATCAAAGTCTGCTTGTATGGTTTGCATCTTCTATTGTAAGAAGAGCTAACTGCAGCTTGCTATGAAACCAGATAGGACTACAATCTGAATTGTGATTTCTGTGTGCTAAATTATAATTTATGTGTGTTTTATTCTATTATTTTGGTGTTTTGCCTGTTTGATTCCAGCATTTAGTTTGTAAGGAATGAAGAACAAGCTAGCTGCAACAGAAATAAGACTGAAATCTGAATTCTGCAAGTTTAATGCTCTTATTCTTATCAACTTGTTTGGTTGATAGAATAGTTATTCCT